TTGACATTCAGTGTGTGCTTACGTTATCGCGTGAACGCGTTTGCTGCCTCCATGAATAAAAAAAAAAAGCCCGCGTATTTAGAACTAGCCAGTTTTGAGGAGGCAGCATATCAATGTAAAATCCATGAAATGTACACACGGTATAGTAGTAAGTTTTTCGTTTAGCATGGAAAGAGCCTGATAACTCAAGCAGGTGGCGGTCTGACGCGACATTTCTGTTATTTAGTGTTTTTCTTGGACAAGTGGAGCGATGCATCCTCACATAAAGCTGTCAGGCTGAATAAGCTGGAGGTCGCGGTATATCTGTGGATGGTGATTGACGGCATTTTATTCAGCTCCTCTGTTCTTGGAAGGGAGAACCCGACTAGACTGAAAAAAGCTTCTCTTGGTATTGAATATATATATGATACTGTACAGGTAGACACGCCCCCTTTTTGCTTCTATAAGAGAGGGCTCATTTGCAGGAAGTGTCATATCAACTTTTTGATTGCCTGTAATCAGTTTTGTGCTTACTACTTCTTATGGTGCTTCGTGAAACTTTATTTTCCTTGATTTGTTAATTGAACAGAACTAACCTTACATAATCAAGATCACTCTTTCGGACCTGTCTGTCTCGTTTCAGATAATGTAGGCCTACAACTTTTTTGTTCTTGATTTTTTTGCTGTTCATATTAACCAGCACTGAAAACCTAGAATGTAATACTGCATTATGCACTAATTTACGACTGTTTTAACATTAAACCTCATACTTAGAGCTTATTGGAAGCATATTTCAAATTGCATTTTTGTGTGCTTTTGAATTTGTGTTGTATATTGTTTACAGATTCTGATTTAATGATGTGTTCTGGGCAAACATTGTTCTTTCTTTCTGATCATCCTATACAAGAAATGTTTTAGAGACTGTTCTTGTGTGAAGAAGAAGAAGAAAAAAATCACTAATTATTTGTTCTTTTCTTTGAGATGTATTTGATTGACTGATTGAATGATTGATCAGAGGCTTCTTTTGTTAAGTAATCTCATTTATTTCAGGTATTATTCTTAAAAAGTATGGTGCTGTACCAAAGCCTTATGTACAATATTATTATGATGTAATGTTTGATTCTTCTGCCACTGCTAAGGAATTCTCCAAGAAATTGCTAGACAACTCTGATTATCAAACAAGGTGCAGTGTGCCTCAATATCTTCTCGTCCTTGATTAGTACAGAACAGTATTTTTTCATGGGCGTTCTCCACATACTCAGATCTTAAGATATGGTGCCTGGAGTGTCTTCATGCTGCTAGGAGTAAATGTTAACGATGTTTCGTATCTGTACTACCAACTTATGACATTGACCTCCACAATAACTCAGCTGGACACTTTGATTCAGCATCTTGATTTTAAAAGGGAACAACCCTGCAGTAAGCAATGGCATTTTTAAAGAATAAAGGATATTGCATTGTTATATTATTTTTATTCTATTGTTTTGATCATTATTTTCTTGCATTATTTTCTAGGATAAGACCCTAATCAAAAAGAATATGCTACCCTGACAAATGAATTGTCCTTGAGAGTTACATCAGTACCAGACCTGGGAATGAAACATAGAGTGTTAAATGTGTGTATGTGTGTGTATGTCTGCGTGCTGTCTTCAACAGCCCAATTGAAGTTCTGTATAGTGGAGCCGTTCAATTTGCATTGTTTACATCACCAGATGCCCAGATATGCACATTTTGGCAAGCTCTATTAGGTTGACATTTTCCAACGCTTTGGTCCATGTAATAACCCCGTAAAACTTTTTGTATTTTGATATAATAAAAAAATATATGAGAGTGCGTTCTTGATGAGTTATCTTTTATTTAAGAACCTGTGATAGCCACTAGAGGCCACTATTGCGTTATGGTAAATCTGACTGGGTAATTTGACCTACTGTTTATATCGTATGCCGTTGAGGAAAGGTGTTTTTTAATAGTTTGCCAGGATGACTGATACATTTGTCATATATAAAAGTAAACATTCATCAAGGAGCAGAGTCTTTAAACTAACACAACTCCCTCTCACACACCTGTTTATCTGAAGTGACTAACACAGAATAGATAACCTTGGCATAAATCTCACGGACAACGCCTTGGCATATGCCTGAATATTAATTGTTTTAACTGATTCACAACGATGATGATAATTGTTTGCCAAATACAAAGCTGACACAGGCTCTGCTCATTATTGGTTAACATTTTGATGGTGTCATTTTTGCTTTGGAAATGGAAATTTGTTCATTTTCTTTTGGCTTAGTCCCTTAATCATTGGTCACCACAGCAAAATGAACCATCAACTTATCCAGCATGTTTTATACAGAGGATGCCTTTACAGCTGCAACCCAATAATGGCAAACACCTATACACACTCATTCACACACGTTATTCTATTCACCTATACCGCATGTCTTTGGACTGTGGGAAAACACCCGAAGGAACTCCACACAGAAATGCCAACTGACCCAGTCGGGATTCAAACCAGCTAACCGCTAAGCCACCATGCGCTGCCCCAATTGCAAAGATAAAGTGTTCTAATATTATCATTCTATAATGGTGGGTGAATAGTTCATCACAAAAACGTAAAATTGTATAATCATGTAGTTTCAAACAGTATGAATTTTGTGGAATACAAAAGATGCTTTGAATAATAGTGTGCTAATCAGACAATTATACAGCAGTGTTTCTCAACCATGTTTCTGGAGGACCACCAGCTCTGCACATTTTCCATTTCTTCTTAACCAAACACACCTGATTCAGATCATCAGCGCATAAGCAGAGACTGAAAGACCTGTAATGGGTGTGGTAGACAAAGGAGACATCCAAAACATGCAGTGTTGGTGGTCCTCCACACTTTAACCCAACAGTCAACTTTATCACATGAAATGAGTGTAGTTAACTCAAAATTGACTGAAAGTTAATTCTACTCATTTTAACAGATTTCTTAACTTAGTGTTGAGGGTAATTAGTTAATTAAATACCTCATTACTTCATCTTGAATAGAAGTTCACCGTACTCATATAGATTAGTTTACTCTAATGGTTTGTAGCAATCGGTTTCCTCAAACAGTTTAAATTGCCTTAACTTATTGGGTTTTACAGTACTCAGTTGGTTTGAGTTCTCTTCATTTATTGGGTTTTACTGTGCTCAGATTGTTTCATTTACTCAAATGGATTAAGTTTCTTTTGAACTTAAATGGTTTGTTGCAATCAGTTTCCTCAAGCGGTTTGAGTTACCTTAATGTTTTGGGTTTTACAGTGCAGGAAAGTGGTTGAGAAACACTGCTATTCTGTACACTACTATGCTATACCACTGACTTGTACATACCAAACAAAACATGTTACATAATAACTGTCATAAAAAGCTGAAAAGGTTTTTTAACAAAACCATGTTTTTAAAACAAATATTTCCAGTCCTTGATTCTGATTGTTTGAGCCATGTTTGAAGTTGTTGTACAGTACCCATACACCTGTGACTGTTGCTTGGCATCCATTTAACTATTATGAGTACTGAGGCCACAGGTATATAGATAGACCCTGAGCATGCGTCAATAGCGCCGCCACCGTTTTACAGTTCTCCCAGGACGAAAGTCATACTACTTGTCAAGACAGTGAGCCAATGTGAAGATGCTGGACTTTACCGCTGTGTACTGGTGTAGGTGAACAATCAAAGAAAACAAAGCACCAAGGCAGAACATTTCATATAAGATTTTGTTTTTTTATGTTTTTGTTTGTTACGAACTTTTGTGCTATACAAATATTGATGATAAAATCACTTATTGCTTTCATCATAAGGAAAGTAGCATCAACTCGCATTACACATTAGGCTTTTGCTGGTTTTGTTATTGACCTTATTCTAAAATGCGCAAGTGTGCCTGTTTTCGCGATTGTCTTAGAACTTCCAATTCAGTCGCCTATGGGAGAAATGACTAGGAATAATAAACGGCAGAAAATGGCCAAAGCACTTGCTCAACAAACAAATGTTTGCATGACTACACAGACCAAGTAGCATAATATAATAAGAAAATATTAAATTGCAACATCAAGCAGCGTAACGAGCAGTTGTTAACGTCAAAAAATGAATGGAAGTGAATGTGACCGGAAGTCGCGAGACAAAAAGATTCAAATGGCAGCGCCCACTCGTCAGCTGAGAATAAGGTGAATGTAATATAAGCAAACAAAGTAAATGAAATATGACCACAAGATGCTGTGGTGCCAGAGTAATTGAGATTCATTCAAAAATGAATCGCTCCCTCCGTTAGAATGAGAAGTGAAAGCAGGATAAGAGCAAATTTAACAGGGAGGGAGGATAATACATTTACATGCACACAAGTTATGGCAGTGTCCATGTGGTCACTAATCCTTCGATGTAGAAAAGTGATGTAAAATTATAATTTTGTCATTTTAAAAATATTAGTGAACTGACGGCCAGGAAAACTCCCAATCATAGATATATGTGCATATCTGGCTCTGGATGGCCAGTCCTCCACTACACCTTGGTCCCACATTCATTTCAAAGGAACGCTACCCTGTACCAAAATGGCAGCTTTATTGACGCATTCCTTTCAAAAGACAACAACAAGGTAGGCGACATCTAATGTAAATAATGTAAAAGCTTGCAGAAAAAAAGAAATATGGCCATTTTGGGGACCCCAAAATGCAAATATGTACCGTTTTTTGTTAAAAATAGATTTGTGTAAACTTTGCAAGAAAAGAAAAACGTCTGTAGCAGCACCTGGGTGAAATTGTGGTGTAAGCTTTTTTTGTAAACAATAATCTTTTTTTTTATTATCCAAATTAAGAGGAATCAATTTTATGAAATTGTTTTAAAAATAAAAAGACTAAACTTGTATTCTATGTCAATTATTTTTAATCATGATAAAAAAGTTTTAAATGTTGATCTCATGTAAGGACAGAGTTAAGTGGATCCTATATCCACCTTGATCATAGCCACGCCCCCAAACACACACGCACGCACTCAGTTTATCAGGTGATGCGTAAAGGAAAGAAAGAAGTTTTCATGTGTCAAGAAGCACTTTCATTTACTCACTCACTCACACCACGTTCACACACGATAAAGGATGCCTTTGTTAGATGCCTGTGCACACTCATTCAAAGTAAAGGGATTACCTGTGTAATAGAGGGAAATATCTCTCGGATGTCGTTTGGTCTGCAGTGACGCTGAAACAATCAATCAGGTGAGCTACTGTTTGTTGATCTTTCCTTCTTTTTTATGACTGTGATTTATGTAACATACGCACGTGTAAAGACCAAGAATATACCAAGAATATGTCTTCTAGCAATATCTTCCATAAATGTAAATTGTTTGTAGTCTTATGCCGTTTTAAATTCCTTACCGTCATGTTATTCACGTTACATAGCTGATAAGAATATACACGCTGAAACAATTTAGTCTAGTGTTACGGAAACATAAACCACCCACGATGAGTCTATAAAGAAACTAAACGTTAAAATCCTCATCGGAAGTCACATGCTGTTGGCCATGCATGACAACTGTGCTCATTTTATTACCAGTTAAAAGAAGATTTCAGCACCATTTAGCTTAAAGTTTATTCGGCTTCTTAGTCACGCAACGGTAAACGCCTACTCTCTGTTCATGTTATACCCTGGCTGTAAACATTCCTCATCACATGTTCAGGATTTCATGACAATCTGTCGCTTAGCAACCCCATCAATGAACATCAGCTTTCATACAGTACAATCCCATACTCGAGTCGAGCAGATGATATCATGCAAACATGATGTAATACATAAAGTTCAATTGCTCACTGAATCGTGCTGTCCAAAGGTCTGGGACCATTTATTAATGTTTCCATGATGCATTTTTAAATCATTATTATTTTTATTGAGGTCCTTGTCTGTCTGTCTGTCTGTCTGTCTGTCTGTAAGTTACTTATATCAACTTAAAAACAGATTTTTTTTTATTTCTGTCTTTGCTTTCAAGCATTTGTGTGCGTTTGAATGTCGAACAAAAATTGCTGCCCTTGTCATGAGATACCAGTACCACTGTTATTCTGTTAAGAATAACCACTGTTGAGAAAAATCGTATACAAATATTCAACATTCCACATTGTGCAAGGAAAACATATTCCTGTATTTCCAAGTTGTTTGGATTAAATGTGGGAAAATAATACAATATTTTGGGCGTAACAATAGCACTGAATTCAGAGACAGTTTTTTTTTATTGATTTTTTTATACAGGGTATTACATTTATTTCTCTTTTTCATACCAGCAACATAAGGTGTTTAAGTCTCATATTTCATGAGAAGATATGGACCAAAATCCATAATCCATAATAATCATAAATCAATAACGTTTAAAAATGGTTTTTGAATAAATCTATCTGTTTTCTTAAAAAAAAAAAAAAAAAAAAAGATTATTAACATGAAATAATATATAGTACATTTTTACGTTTACCTTTGATCTTTGTTTCTGTCTCTCTGTCCTTTTCTTTTTTTAGGAATACATAAAACTTATGCTCAGTATATTTGTAGTATTAAAAGTTTAAAAATAGTTGTTTTTATAAATATTGTTGTTTAATTATATTAATATTTAATAACATTTTATGAATATACATTTTATTTTCAAGCAATCCCATGCAAATGTCAAACTTTCCATAAAAATATAGCGAATGGCTATAGATATATGTAGATATAGATATTTATGTTGGCTTGTATTTTACAGTACTGCAAAAATACTGTGTAAAAGTATTATTTGTAACTGTGTAACTGTGTAACAATGTATCTGTCAGCGTTTTCAAACAATTATATTTGATTAACCAAAGTCACATAAGTGGCAATTTCATATCTGTCACATCCATAACAGAGCTTTTTCCTCATAAATGCAAAAATGTCAAGTAAAATAAAATGGATTGTTATTGTTCTATACTAAACCAGTTTCTAGTTTCTTTTGGGTTGAGCAGTTTAATTCACAGAATTACACAAAGTATGTTGTATACTGTAAACTCACAGACTTTTTGATCACATCCATCAGGCATGTTTATTTTCCTTATTTAAATGTATACAATATATTTACAGATTGATATTTTTCTGATCACATAATTCTGTGGTTTGTTGTTTTGGAAAATATAAACAGATGTTTTAATGTAATGTTAATGCATTCTTTCTCTGTGAATTTAAGTTTTTACTGCAAATGTCACATCCAAATTCTGAAATTGCTCATTCAATTATTTTATATTACATAAAAAATATACAGTATGGCATACATTGTAATGCATGTCGTATGCTATATAGAAATGCCAGTTTTTTTATTAGACATAGTTATTTGGACCTCATTATATTCTGTAATTTGGCCCTCAATGCAGACCATAAACTGTTGCTTATATTAAGATAATAGCTTAGTGTCGAAGGGAAAAAAATGAATACTCATTTCTAGAGCTGCACAATTAATCGAAAAAAGATCGCAATCTTAAATTGACCTTCAGCTTTTTTAAAATTCAGCCAATTATATTTTCATGGCCAGGAGAGAAGCATAAAGGCGGTCACACAAGTCTTCACATTTCTTCATACACATTGCTCAGTTACATGGACACCTGCAAATGGTGTTAATCATGTCACATAGTGTATTTATAAAGTATAATTCACCCAAAAATGTCATTTCTGTCTTCATGTAATGATGAAGTCACAGCAGCAAAATCACACATGAGCTGATGCAATGTTTGTTTACTGCCCGCCAATGATGTCAACTTTAATAAACAGAACCTGCAAATTGAGTGACAGGAAATTAAGTTGAAAATATAGTGTGTTACAAACTAAACTCAAGTGGAAGCACTAAAGTATTCACTATGAAAAAAAAACATATTAAATGCTTGTCGTGATCCTAGCTCTAAAATGCGATATGATCATTTAAATGATGTGTTAGGTTTTGGTTTCACTTTCACATGGATGCCGTCACTTAAACAATACTTGTACATTGTAGTAGTACATTGTGAAATAAACTACTTGCAATTCTTAAGTACAAAAAATGTTGAATACTTTAGTGCTTCCACTTAAATACGCTGCTTAAATAGCACTTCCACTTCTACTCAAGTCACTTTTTTGATAGAGCACTTAGGTCTTTAGTACTTTATACATCTCTGCATTAAAACAGCTGTCATAACATTATTAATATGTAGCTCTTTTTAAATTTTCGGAAGCTGTAGAACTTAAAAATGTAAAACAGGAAATACGTTGGTACCATTTTTGTTTAAATCCCTCAAAATGGTCTTTAATGTCTCGTATAATGCAAAAGGGAATCTGAGAATGACAAATGTTTCATTTTACCAGTGAAAAAATAGTCTAATATTTCCCAGAGATGGGTTGCGGCTGGAAGGGCATCCGCTGCGTAAAAACTTGCTGGATAAGTTGGCGGTTCATTCCGCTGTGGTGACCCCGGATTAATAAAGGGACTAAGCCGACAAGAAAATGAATGAATGAATGAAAATGGTCTAATAATGTTCTCAATGTCAAATGACAAGCATATGTGTGCAACATAATAATTCTACTTCAGAATTATGAATAATTATATTCTGATGTTATACTTTTAATGTGAATTATCAACCAGGACATATTTTAAGTCATTCCATACAAAATGTAGCATTTTAACCAACAGTAGACCAACACATAGGCCTAATTTTATTTTTGTTTTACCATATTTTGGAATAAATAACAATAATAATAGTCGACTCATGTTAACCTTTATTTTACAGCTACAGAAAATCATGATCTTGGCTTTAAACAAAAAAGATTGTGATTCTCAGTTTAGCCAGAATCATGCAGCCCTACTCATTTCAGTGGCTGTGTGAATATGTGTGGATTAATCACAGGCGCTGCTGTGTGTGTTTGTGCTCAAGGTGACGTTTGTCCTCTCAGGTACAGTATCTGCATGCAAACATAGAGGACTCATTCTGCTGACTCAACTTTAAGCTTCTCCTCGTCAGCACTTTTGACAGTTTGTAGAGTGTGAGAGGAATATGTTGTAGTTTTTACATCTCGCTACTCCTAGACCTACAGTAGTAGATCATAAATGTTGTGCTGTCAGGATTACTAAGGTTCCTCTCCCTGTGGTGTTTAAACAGTCACTGTGGGTGTGACTGAATATTCCTTTTGTTTATGCTTCACACTTGAATTATTAATGGTGTAGCGTATTGCAACATTGCTTGTACAAGTCCCATGTAAGTCTTGTGTTCATGCATCAGTAAACATGGTACAAACTGTCCTTGTCATTGATTTTTCTTTAGGTTTATTTGTGTTTCAAGGACTGCAGTCGCCATTTAGCCAACAGATTTTTTTTCTTGAACTCAGGGTGAATTCAGTTACATTGATTGAATGGCTAAACACAGTAGTGACATATACAAATCATGTCTGCCATTATTTTTTAAAGTAGATTTATGTGGAATAAAAATGTGATTTATTGCTGTTATATTGTCATACATCTTTCTTTCTTTCTTTCTTTCTTTCTTTCTTTCTTTCTTTCTTTCTTTCTTTCTTTCTTTCTTTCTTTCTTTCTTTCTTTCTTTCTTTCTTTCTTTCTTTCTTTCTTTCTTTCTTTCTTTCTTTCTTTCTTTCTTTCATGAATGAATGAATGAATGAATGAATGAATGAATGAAGCCATTAATATAATTACAGCAATGAAAAACATGCCAATGAATCTAACATAAATTAAGTCTTCGATATTGTAGATCTTAGTAATCAGTAAGTTTTTTCTTTTTAAAATATCAGTTTGTTTGTTAGCATTCATTCATTCATCCATTCATCAATTCATCAATTAATCAATCAATCATTTGAAGCTGTTATTGCAATATACTGAATAGAACTGCTTGTAGTGATTGATTAACATTAACATATGGGTTTGATGCAAAAGTCAATTTAACGAATATGAAAAGAAAATGGAAGTCATGGTTTTTGAGGATAGTGTTGTAACTTCCACGGTTGATTTGAGTGACCTAGCACAGCACATCTAAAATGACCATTACAAATCTTAGGGTTCAACTTGATCCTAACTTAAAGTTGAACAACCAAATAAGGGCAGTGGTCAAGGCAAGCTTTTTCCAGCTGAGGCAACTGTGGAAAATGAAGTCATTTCTTTTAAGATAACAATTTGAAACTGTAATCCATGCCTTTGTTACTATCCACCTGGACTACTTTAACTCACTTTACAAAGGGATAAGTGGGTCTTCTGTAGCCCGTCTACGGCTGGTGCAAAATACTGCAGCACGGCTTTTGACAGGCTGCCGTAAGTTTGATCATATCACTCCGATTTTAACCACACTTCACTGGTTACCTGTACAATATAGAATTCATTTAAAAATTGTTTTGTTAGATCCCTAAATGGTTCTGCCCCACACTACATATCTAAACTGCTACACCCGTACAGTATATACTGTACCGTCGTGTGCTCTTAGATCAGCAGCTTCTTAGAGTCCCCAAAATTAGATGTAAGCTTAGAGGTGAACCGTGCATTTGGAGTGGCTGCCCCCAAGTTTTTGAAGTCCCTACCTCCTTACATCGGGCAAGCCCCTTCGCTGTCGTTGTTCAAATCACGCCTCAAAACCTTTTCTCCTTGGCCTTTTTCACCTGATCTGATATCTGTTGGACAGAATATATGGAACTCTTATGCATGCAGTAGTTTTACTACTTGAGTTGTATACCATGTGTTATTTGTGGTTAGTGTTTTAATTTTATTTTACTGTTCAGCACTTTGGTCTGCTGCTCGGTGGTTGTAAAGTGCTTTATAAATAAAGTTGAATGAATGAATATACATAAAAATACCCATGGTCGCATATCATATTTATTATTGTAAATAATATAACTTTTGATTGTATTACATTATAGGTGATGTACTGCCCTACTTTTATATCCAACTTTTATTTAGAAATTGATTTATTAATTGAAAAAACTCACTTAAACTTGACATAGCCTTTCTAGTTGATTTGGATAAAATTTTCTGCTAAATCACTTTTGTCAAAAACAGTTCCTGGAGGGCCACAGCTCTGCTCTTTGGCTTTAACCCTCATTAAACAAAGGACTCATTAGTCCTTCAGGCTTGTTTGAAAGCTACAGGTAAGTGTGTTTAAGCAGAGTTGGAGATAAACTGTGCAGGAGTTTGACACCCCTGTGCTAAATGAATGAATGTGATTTATTATCAGCAGCCTTTGTTGCTGTTATGGCAGTTGTGAATAAAGTTATAATGGTGACACGTTATTATTATTTTTTTATTGTAATTTTATTGTAATAATACAATGTAAACAAATCCACCTTGTGTGTGTATATATATATATATATATATATATATATATATATATATATATATATATATATATATATATATATATATATATGATTGACTGATTTAATGTCCGGTATTAATCCATCATATGTTATTAATATACATAATCTATTATAACCAATATTAACTTGGATTAATGTTTTATTTTATTTTTTATTAAAATGATTTTGGTTAATATACAATAAAATAAATCATCTTTGAACTATTTTATTTTTAATTTAATTAATTATTATTCAATATAATTTAATTTATTTCATTTCACTTTCCTTTGGGCTTATTCCCTGCTTTTTCCAGGGGTCAAAACGGAATGAACTGCTTATTTCATGTGATCAAAACTATGTACAGTATGTAGAAATGAATGAATTTATTCAATATTATGTCAAAATAAACTAAATATATAAACTTATACAGGCTTGCTACACACTCCTGCACCCCACAGGGCCTCCTCCAGTGTCTGTATTGTAGGTGTAGACACTAAAGTGAAGTCCGGTCTCTCTCACACTCCCACTCTCTCTCTCTCTCTCCTCCTCCCTCACAGACGGGCAGCTGTAGCAGTGACTCAGTATCATGGAGGCGAGCAGCAGGACTGCAGCAGCGACAAACGCCAGAGCTTCAACACCTCCGACAGACGCAAGCACTCATGATCCCAGTGAAGGGTAAGAAACAGCCTGCACACTTCACCTTCTCCGTGGGCTTTTGCCTGCAGCTAGTTATGCATTATAGCGTGCGTTTTGTCTTGCAAGGTTAGATGAGGCATTTTCTTCACAATTGGCTGAATGTCTGCATAATCAGGTGCAGTGTGCATGTAGTGTTGGTTTTTGCACTCGCAGGCGTTTCCAGTGTCATGTGACTGGTCACCTTATTTTAATTCTGAGACAGCAGATTTAGCCAGCGCTGCATGCAGCAGATGTGAATTTGTCCCCTGAGGATGAAATTACAGGGGTGATTTGTGTGCAACTGGTGCCCAGCGGAGATGATAACAAGGATGGTAGAGGCATCAATGAATGAACGTGCTGGACCACATTACGGAAGCAGGCTTGCTGTAATGTGATAGTTAATGACATTCTTTTACTAGCTGTTAATTAAAATCATAAAAACTGTAATTCATACAAATATTAGGGTAATAACTGTTTTGATATAGTTAAATTGGCATTTAAGTATGTAGTTAATCATTTGTTTTTTAATATTTTTCATTATAATTATATTAATTACAATCTATCTAATATGCACATTTTTTCTACCAAATCAAAACCATTTGATTCAACCTACATGCAGAAAAAAACATAAAATAGGATACTTTACACTGTAGAATTTTTCTTGTTATTTGAAATCCTGTTAATCATGTTATAAAGTTAATCATGCTTGTATCAACATTTATCAAAAGTTTTGAAAATTTTAAACTTAAAGTTTTAATTCTAATTTAATGGTTTAAATTTAATGTACTGTAAGTTCAATTGAAAAGCTTCTTTGAACTTTCTTTTGTATGATGTCCCATGGTGGAAAAAGTACTGAAAAATCCTACTCATGTAAAAGTGCGATTACTTGGCCAAAAATGTATTGCGAATAAAAATATCTGTCGTAAATATTGCTCAAAGTATGAGTAAAAAGTAGCCCTTTTAAAAGTACTCGAGTAATATGCTGTGAATGGCTGATGCGTGTGTGTAAACGTAATATTCTGCAGTGCATTTATACAGAAAACATCTGTCATCTTCTCATCAGTGACATTCAGTCTCTTTGTCATTGTCTGTAAAGATTTTGGACATATTCTTGCACACTTTTAATGCTTCCAAACAGTTTGCTGCATGTCTTGATTTACTTTCAATAACGGATTTGATTGGACAGAAATCACAGGACTGATTTTTTCTAATCCCTATAGACAGGAAATTATAAAGTTGTTACTTTAGGTTGAAGGTAACTAGTGGAGTAAAATTACCAATACAGCACTAAAAATGTACTCAAGGGAAAGTAAACATACACATTTTGAAAACTACTTAGTAAATTACAATTTTTGAGAAAAAAACTACTCAATTACAGTATTTTGATTATTTGTAATTTGTTACTTTACACCACCGATGATGACCTTTGTAGAGTAGACTCCTATAAAAAATAGATTTTTATGGCAATAATTATTATATCTTGGTTAGTTCAGGTAGGGTGGTCCATTTTGCTGTGGTGACCCCTGATAAGTCAGATACTAAGTTGAAGGATAGTGAGAGAGTGAGTAGTTCAAATAATAAAATGCCATTTGTTGTTACTCTCAAAAGAAAAACTGTCATGACCATCATGACCCTTATTGTGCAGAATGAGTATTAGTTGACTAAACAGAATGACTAAAAAAGACTGGATTGTCAGCAATTTTCATTGACTAAATCTTTATTAAAATGTCCAGAACTAAAACAAAATATCTGGCTGACTAAAGGGATTTTTGATGTGGGAACTTTTTCTAAAAAAGTTAATGTACATTTCATTGAATGACAGCGGTCAGTAATAGTTGTGGTTCTTATTTTGATGATGTTTTTATTGTTATCATTAACTATTATTATGCAGAATAACTAATATGACTGAAATGTCAACAGTTTTCATTGACTAATACTTATCTTGAGATTTTGAGTTACATTTTTTTTTTGTTTACTTGGTTGAGAACAAATGATCAAAAACATAAATTACTTTTTTTTTTTGACATGTAAACTATTAGGGATTAATACAATTTGGTGTGAGTCAAGATGTTCTGGGGATGGTATACAAGAACTTGAAAGTGTTGTAAGTTTTAACATGGTTGCATGGTATCGACTGTTACCAATTAAGGAAAAGCAAAAACTGTTTCGAGTAGTAAAAATTGCCGGAGCAATTGTAGGTAAAGTACAAAGACAACCAAATGAACTTTGTTTAATGAGAATCAAACCAAAAGCACATGTCATTATTGAAGATTGTTCCCATCCCTTAAATTTAAAATTTCAGCTCTTGCCATCAAAAAGACGTTTTAGGCAACCTCAAGCAAAGAAAAATGTGCATCAAATGTCCTTTGTGCCGACTGACATCAGAATTTTAAAAACTGGGTTCTAAGTATGCATAGGGTTTAAGATAGAGTTTTGTGATGACACTGAATGTATTTGTGTTGCCTATTTTCTTTCTGTGATGTGTGAAATGTGAACACTAATCTGGTTGTGTTGTGAAGCCAAAGATAAATTTCCAGTTGTGGACAATAAAGAAAGTAAAAGTAAAGTAAAAAAAAAAACTAAGAAAAAATGAAAAAACAGCTGACAAACTTAATGCCAAACATTCTCATAAATCACTGAGCCTTTTGCTTCTTTCTTCCGTGAACAGACTCGGGCATTATCGTTCAATCTCACTGTGGTCTAATCTGGAGGAGGAAAGGGGGGAGTGTGGGATGTTCTGGAACAAAATCACTGACTTCGTCTTTTGTCTATTGAATGAATTGGCTAAACTCTAGCCTTTTATTCCCATTCTAAAGGCTTCCCAATCCTTAAAGCTGTTCCAGCTCACCTTTCCTTACCCCTGGAGCGCATCATATTTCAGGACCTGTTCTTTGTTACCCAGGGTGGATTCATTTGTGACTGACTGACTGACTGAAGTGATATCCTTTTGTGTCTTAGAACATACAATAGCATGCTTTTGACTGCCACTGGTCTGGTCTTCTATAACATCTCCTTGTTTCGACCCTCTCGGCCTTGTTCTCAGCTGCAGGGTGACCTGGGTAATGCTCCAGAGATTATCTGAAATGAGTGGATCATTTCACCAAGCTTTTTTTAATTCTTTACAGTTGGCTTATACAGTAAATTGTTATTCTGTCACATAATAGTTTGTCTAGTATACATCCTGATTTTCAGTAACACTCTAAAGACTTTATATAAGATCCAGATTCCACCTTAGTGTTGTTTTGCTATTTTATATATGGCTACTCTACTAGATTCTAATGGATACATTAAAAATGTTTTAGGACTTGCTTTGTTTGTTGAGCAGCTTTACTCTTGTGTTATTGACACAGCTTGGCCTTGGTTAACTTTGACTTGTTGTTTGGTTATTTGTTCACTCACAGGTCACGAGTTCAGTGTAATGAGTAGTGCCTCTCAACTCAGTTTGTTTATTGCCCGCATGTCCTGTATGATTAGGCAGCCAAAGTTGTGAAGAAAGTATCTAGGTGAGAACGAATGGCTTGTTAGCTTTTTTAAAAGCTCTTTAAAAAGACCAGGAAAAATGAGAAAGTTTGGGTGATAAAATATATAATAATACATGGTCCTAAACAAAATTCACCAGATTAACATGCAACACAAACAAAGACAAACAAACACAAACAATAAATTTATTTTTCAGAATGTCTAATCTGAACTCGACCAAAGCATAAACTTTTCAGTCTGACATATTTTATATTATACTCCAATTATTCACAGCTGGACTCGCACTATACCCAGCTCACACACAGCGTAACAGATACAAAACATATTGGTCATTTATAGTAATTTGGTTACTTACCAACAGACAATGTAACCACAACATCATATACTGGTAATTCCATTTCCATCCCAATACCAAATCACAATGTTGTCAGTATATCCCACTGATGTTACAAGCTAACTAAGAACATCCCAGACAGGTATTCAATTAGTAATAACTTGGTAATTTCTTGATTTACTGTCAACGTAACTGCAACATCTTTTTAACTGCATTTTTAATGAAACGCTTGTGGGTTAGTACATTGGTTTCCACATAACTTTACAGATATAACATCATAATTATATATATAATTCTTTTTATTTTATTATTTTATTTTTTTTAAGTAAAAATAAATGAACAGCTAATCATTATAAGTGTAATTGCAAACTATTTTGATGACCAAAGTTTCATTGTGACAATGTAACTAATTACGCCGTGACAACCGGAAGGGTGAAGTTCACAGTTACGTTGCTACAATGTAGCTTTGCAACGCTGCCAGACAATCATTTACCATAACATAGATTTATTTTTGTAGGCCTACAGCAGAGAATTAGATGTTTGAGTTTATAGTTTCTGAATGGCTCAAGCTAATTTTGATGCCTCTGACTGAATGTAAGAAGTTGAATTTGTCCTAATTTTGAGTATAAGTCCATCATTCATAAAATATTTTGCCTTTATGGGGCAAACAAGGACAAGTAATTGTCTTCCTTTTTTATGACCAAATTGGTTTCAGTACATGAAGTTACATTGTAGCAACGTAACTGGGAATTTAACTTTTCCAGTTATCACAACTTAATTATTTACGTTGTCACAACAAAAGTTTGGTCGTCAAAATATGTTGCAATTATGTATCAATCACATACTATAGCTAGCTGGGTATATAATATCAGAGAATAGCAAATATACAAAATTTGCATGCACTACAAAATGTGAACATTTTATGGCATCACGTTATTTAAGATTTTTCTGCCAAGAAATAACTCTTAGCAGACGGTTGCTAATGCTAATATGTGGTAGCTACTAAACAAACTTCTACACTGGTTCAAATCTGAGGTGATATGCCCTTAGTGCTTCTGTTTTCCTGTACGGTTGTTGGTTCATTTATGAGATATAACACAGATACAAGCAGATCCTCAATCTCTGCTGTCCACTGACTCCATTTAGTTGCTTGTTCTGCAGTTATATAGTCAAAAATACGAAATGTTTGATATGATCAAGACAGCCCTGATGTGCCAGTAAACCGATTAGAAAGTTCAAGATTAGATCTGTAAACACATCATATCACCATATAATCTGGATCAAACAACAGAACCAACCAATGTTCTGAGGAAGATTTTTTTTCTTAGATTGTTGAGAAAAGTAAATTAATCTTAAACTCCTGTACTGTGAAGTCAGAATGAGGATTGCAAGCAAACACAACAACATCACACAAAAACATTCCTCTTGTTGCTAGGAATCATCTAGCAAGTCTTTTAAATTTGGCTCAAGCAACATGTTTGATATCCACTGACTGGGCTGATTTTCTGCTAAATCTGTCTCTCTGAATGCTCAGAATCTGCAGACTGCTGCTTATTATTTTATGCAACTTGCACTGAGTCTTCCAAACTGAAATTGAATGGCAGAAATTGTGCAGTTTATTCTAGCCTTTAATGCTTGTTCTGTCCCTTAATAAAATCTGTTCATTGCTTTATAAGCTGTAATATGGTGTACTAGTCATAAGGATGAAAATAAGAAGAGGTGAGAATCACCATCATTATTTATAGCACTGCCTCGCCTTTGCTTATGAACTTTCCTATAAATAAGGAAAATTTTAAATCAATATGGAGTTTAAAGGGATAGTTTTCCCAAATATATATATATAAAAAAATCTGTCATTACTCTCCCTTTACTGGTTTAAAACTTTTTTTTTTTTGAGTTTCTTTCTTCTTTTAAACACAAAAGATATTTTGAAACATGTCAGAAATGCTTTCTGACTGACTCACTGACTTTCATACACTCTAAAAATGCTGGGCTGTTGTAACCCAATGTTGGGTCAAATATAAACAAATCCAAAATTTGGGTACATTATTTCAATTAAATTTAAATTAAACTTATTAATCCAATGTTTTTTTTTTTTTTTCATATTTGACTGTTTGGTTACAGCCAGCACTTGCTTTGTAAACAAATAATTCCTGCAACAAAACCAGGAAATAAAAGTTACCATGACCAACGTTCACCGAACAATTTCAGTTTTCCCAGAACACGTCATAGCGGTACACACACAACCGTACAATCTGACACAAATATCTGACATTTTCCAGAACATGATCCAGCAAGATCCGGCTCAAATTAGGCACTGGTTACAGCAACACAGTATTTCAGTATTTTTTAGAGTGTGGTATTTTATTATTTTTTTTATGAAAGTAAATGATTACAGGCAGGGCTTGGTAATAACTTTTTTAAAGACCAGTCACTGTGGCTAGTAGTCAACATTACTAGCCATTCGCCATTTTCACTGGCCATAATTTTATTGTTAGGAAAATATATATTTGTATGCATAGATTTGACATTTGGCATGCTAAAATGACTTAATTTAGATTTTGTTATGTCAACATAATGAATGAGTCCGCATTCATTTCACTTTTTGTGTGTTGTGTATGAACTTGCTCAATTGGCATGAGCATGGGTTGTGCTTTCATAGTCGTATTGCAATTAGTTCTTGTTTCACAAGACTTTTCAGAGCTCAACTCTAAAGATTTACCAAATTTGTCTCTGGCCAGACTAAAAATAAACAAATAAATAAATAATTTTCTTAGCCATGAATTTAAAATAATTAAAAATATTCAAAAGAGGCAAAAAATAGCTGTATACATACACTTTCTATTCAAAACTTTTCTTAAAAAAAAAAAATAAAATAAACAATTGACATTTTAAACCTAATTATTGCAATGTACCTAGAACTATGCACGATATACTGTATATGTACGGTTGCCATTAGACCCATTAATAATTGTTAAAATGGTTAAAGTGAAAGTGGCCACCTCTGCTGCTTACACAAAGGCATTTTTTTAAAGAAACACTTGAAAGCAAACATAATTTTTTTGTCCAGTCTATTTGAAAGATAACCAATCGCATAAGTTGTTTACAGGCACGGTTGCTAATTTGTGGAAGGAAACAGCATCGCGCAAGCATTTAAACACTTGGGCGCATCACTAGTGCCCTTTTCAGTGTGTGAGAGTCTCTAAATGCATGTGATAATCGTCACATTCGGTATTGACATGCTTCCTTTTGCTTGCGCGAACAGTTGTTTTTATCAGTCGTGCTTCTCGATGGGCATCCCTTTTGTCAAACTTTGCTTTTAAAAAAACTACAATGAAAAAATATATATATATTTTTAACTAGCTAAAGTGGCTAGTGGGTCAGGTTGTTTAACCTGCCACATTGTAAATCTATCCATCAAGCCCTGGTTACAGTTCTTCAGCTTTTAACAGAAGAAAAAAAACTCTTAAAGCTTTAGAAATATGTAAGGGTAAATGAGGAGTGAAATTTCATTTTTGGGTTAATCAACCTTGTGATTTTTATACATATACATATATACACATACATATATATACACATAAAATCACATTTGTCAAGATATGTCAAAACTATTCTGCACAGCATCTTTTTTTGTCATTTTTGACAAGCTATTCCTGTAAGATAATCCTAGTTCTGAAATTTAACTGGTGAAATGATCAAATGATACAGTGCAGAGTTATGTACTGTATGTAATGTATGTGAAGCTTATTTCACCATACCCCTCTCTGCTTCTCTCTTCTTTAAGGCCCCACCCAGAGGAGGATGAGGGGGAGGAAGACAGGAGCTTGCAGCCAGCAGAGACTGCAGGCTGGGAGGACGCCATTGCTGTTATGGTGCGTGTATGTACTAGCTTTCTGCAGGTCACGCTTCATGCATTTAGAGTGCTGTGTAATCTTCTGTTTATGTGTGTGTGTGTTTGTATATACAGGCACGAGGTGCGCCAACGGTCCCTGAACTGCCTGCCGAGTCTTCTCTACGCTCATGTGTCAGTACGGCCAGCATGAAGGTCAAGAACGTCAAAAAGTAGGTGTTTATGTGCATTAAAGCGAAGGTTTATATGGAGTCCTTTCTCTGTCTTGTCTCTTTCAGACCCATGGGGGAGAATACTGATGAGCTCTTTTTGTATTGCAGACTGTCCCTCACCAAACGCCATTTTCCCAAGCTGGCAGAATGTGCCCACTTTCATTATGAGAATGTTGACTTTGGCTCCGTGCAGGTGAGGGTTTTGTGGTAAATGCAGTCCTGCCGAAGCTCATGATCACTCATGGTTGACGGGAATGTGTTAATTAGGCTCTTCTTGGCTGTGGTCTTGGTTTCACCGTTGGCAGATTATCCATCATGTTGAAATTAGGCCTTTGGTTTAGGTTACACGCAGGTCAGGTTTTTTTTTTTTTTTGCTTTCACACAAGATCTTCAGGCCAATTGAGTGGATATGGATGTCAATGTTCATCACCATACATTTATACTGTTTATACAAACTGTTACATTTATACACACTCTGCTTTTTCCCAAATAATAGCATTATCTAATCTATATACATTCACTGGCCACTTTATTACTATTTACTGTCAGGTACACCTGTCCAACTGCCTGTTAACGCACATTTCTAATCAGCCAATCACATGGCAACAACTCTGCATTTAGGCATGTAGACATGGTCAAGATGATCTTCTGCAGTTTAAACCAAACCTCAGAATGGGGAAGAAAGGTTATTTAAGTGACATAGAACATGGAATGGTTGTTCTTGCCAGACGGGCTTTATTTAATAAAAAGCACAGTAATATTTTACTTTAGATATTATTCATATAAATCCATTCACATGTCATTTATTTTTGTGACGGTAAAGCTGAATTTTCAGAATCATTACGCCAGTCTTCCAGTCACATAATCCTTCATGAGTCATTAACGTGACTGTAGGGTTCACAATTAGCATGCCTTCATACTATAAATATGGTAGCAATATAAAATATTTACTGTCAATTTCTTAAAAAAATAAAGAAAGAAGCATTAATGTTGATTTATATTTTTTACATTCCCCCAATTTGTTTAAATGTTTGTAATATACTTTTATATAACATTTTATAATATACTGTAAGTCATCTTCATCCATCGTTTACCATTTTATTTTTATTTTTATTTTTTGCTTTGTTTTTGCTACTGTGTCTTTAGGACTACTAACTTATGCTATTACAATTAACCAGCACAGGTCAGAAAAATACAGATAATATGTTAATGTGGGCATATGTGGTCATACTAACCATGATGATTGAGGACGTTGATATTGGGGTGGACTGGAAATGTAGATTTGCATTAGCTGTATGCAGCCATTAACATACACGGTGTATGTTTACTTGCATTTTATGAATCACCAAGGGCCATGGATTTGGCTAAAAAGTAATGTTTTGCTGAAGAAAAAAATACCACCTGTACATTCTGTATAGCCTGAAGGGGGCTATTAAAATGGGAAATCAAACTTTTTTGAGTGAAATATTCAAAGCTTGATGGTGAACATTTTGCTCACAAGCCACTGTGGCTAGTAGTTAGTGACTTAGCTTTTTACTAGTCACAATTTAATACAATATAAGGTAAGTGAAAGGGTTGAAGTCTAAAACAGAAGTGTAGACGGACCCTTACTAATGTTAAAATCTTTATTCATGAGAGATTTTTACCTTATTTTGTGTGATGACCATCTGCGGTCATTTTAAGAGCTAATACACAAATCCAATATACTGATACTGTATACCCATTTTGTCTTCTCAACTACTATTTCACTTGGAAAAACTCACTTTTTTGTGAATATTTTCACAAAGATGGGCATTTTTGACTGTCATCATTTTGGGTGTACAGAATTTGTCCCTGCATTCCAAAAAAGTTAGGAAAGAACATAAATAGTTTTTTGCGAGCTATCTAATGCTGTCTGTCTTCACACATTTCTTTTGCATCCTCTTGATGGTTTTAAATCATTTCATTGGATTCCATTAATGGTTAACTTTGATTTGATGCCATTTATGGATCATGGATCAACTGTGATCAATTACACCCCTATATATAGCCTACAGTATATAAAATTCAACCCACCAAAGTGGCTATTGGGTGTGACTGCGTTACATGCCACTGCTGAAATCCACACACATTTGGCATACTGGTGGATCTTCATGTCGAGACCTAGAACTAAATGTCTTTACTGAAAACACACTTTTAAAAGCTTTGTCATGAAAAAGTAATAGTTCTCAAATTATTGACATTTTTTGTTTTTCTTTTTTTGCTAGTGTGCCTTTATTAAGAATTAAGATTTATGCAAATGTGTCAAGATATGGTTGTACTGGTTAGAACTTAAATTGTATACAGGGTAGAATGCTGCATGCTTAACAAACAATATGCTAATGTAGTGATATGTAAATTTAGGCGGTCCTATGTTAATGCTCCTGGCCATTGTAAACAATGATGATTACGATGTCCGTGAACTGGAAATGGTGATTTGCATTAGTTTTATGTAAATATCAACGTACACAGACCTTTCAATGCCAGTCAGTTCACTTGTTTATGCTGTGTGAGGGCTAAAAACCTTGGTGGTGTTGTGCATATATGTTCTAGAGTGATTAAACATTATCAGAAAAGATGATTGGAGCTTTTAACTAAAAAAATGTGGTTTTAGTTTTCTTCTATGAATGGTCAGCCCTCATCTCTGTCTATCAAGATTTTTTTTTTTTTTAAATAATTTCAAAATGCAGCACTTTTTTGCATCCAGATTGTGTTGTTATGCTGACGGGTTCCAGTAGAGAGCAGCAGATATCATTCCCTATAAATATACAACAAGCCCCTCCTCAAGTTTTGCTGTATATACAGTATACTGCTCTAAAAGGTTGTTGGTTTGGATGGACCGTGAGCAGGGTATGACGTCACAGCTGACGAACAGGACGTTTGCCCTCGTGTTCCTCAGCTCTGTGCACGCCTTCATCTTCCTGTGTGCTGTAGCTCTCAAGGTCACGCAGGTCGACTCCTGTTCTGTTAGATCACATCCAGTCTCTGAGCACATCACCGGGCTGGAGGAGTCCAGAGGAATACAGATAATCTCCTATTCGAAATGTGAGAGTTAAGCAACAAAAGGAAATGATCTTTAGTGCAGCTTGTCTTTTGTTGATTTCTAAGCTCATGCACAATTTAGCTGGTGAATGATTTTATGCCAGTGCTCACATATCAGACTGCTGGAATTTTGCTCCATTGTGCCTTTTGTCTGTCTGGTGTAAATGTTAGGGGGAATCATGTATGAAAAGCATGGACACTAAATAGAAACTTTTTTAACTGAGGACAAAAGAAGTAAACTAAAACTAAAAGACTACTGTACATGGATTTAAGGACAGTAATTTTACATTTGTTACGTATTGCAATTATAGATTATAATTTACAGAGGACACCCATTAATATGCCTTTTTTAAGTGAATCTGTGTCTATATGCAGTTGAAGTCAAAATTATTAGTCAAATATTTCCCAAATAATGTTTAATAGAGCAAGGAATATTTCACAGTATTTACTACAGTATAATAGTTAATTCATCTGAATAATTTACCCATTTACCCACGCAACATAAATAGTTCACTATGTGTAAAAACAAAACAAAATAAAACTTTTGACAATAATCTTATTTTTTATTGGTTAAAGTTTAAAAAAATGTAAATAAAAGAAGAAATCCACAATTTTTTTCTTTTAATTTTATGCTATTCAGAAGCCATGTGCACCCACTGACAGGTAAAATCTGCTTCTCTCTCTTTCAAGTTCAAAGCCAGCGTGAATGCCAAAGCATTTTAGATATGTATATAAAATAGCCTATGTAATATAGTGTAATTACATTATCAAATTAATAAAATAATCAGGAAATGAGAAATAAATTATAGAAAAAGAAGTAAAAACAGACAACATACAGTTTATGTAAATAGGGCAAATGCGTTGATTAACTTTTGGTGTACAAATATTTTGCAGCCAATTTAGACCAGTCATTTCATCTTCTTCGAATATATAGTAAAGTTTTTCTGAGTCCCTCAGATACAAGAATTAACTATTTAATGTTCATCTCGCTCTTGGAACTGTGCGTGCAGAATCAGCTGCAAAGCCAAGCGGCTTAAGTAAAAAGGTAATACAAAAACGCATACGATTAATCGTAGCTTTAGAATGCAAAAGCCAAATCCTGGACATTTTAGGAGATTGAGAAACCTCGGCCGGAAAAAATTTTAAGGGTCAAAAAGGCACATCTCTGTGGGTCTGCAGAGCACGTGAGACTGTGGAAGTATTGACAGGTCTCGCACATAAAGAATGAAATGGGCAAAGGAGAGAGGATTTTCCACTAATGAATCGATCACGCATATTTGGTTTTTATTAGGCTGATACAAATATTATAAAAGGATGATAATAATAGTAAAAAAAAAAAAAAAGACATGTCACTAAATATACTTGGGTGGCCGTTAATGTACCTGGACAGCCTGCCCAAGTTAAGTCTATGTGTGGAAAGCTCTGCTCCTATTTGTTTTATTTTGGCTGGAATAAAGGCAGTTTTTAATTATTTAAAAAACATTTTAATGTCAATATTAATAGCACCTCTGATCAATATATATATATATATATATATATATATATATATATATATATATATATATATATATATATATATATATATATATATATATTTTTTTTTTTTTTTTTTTTTTTTTTTCCCCCGATTGTCTACAGAACACATTGAGTAATGAAGTTTGAACTGCGAGCTGGTTTTTTTTTTTTTTTTTTTCGTGCATTAATCTTGTCAATAATATTAGTCAGAAGGTCATGATTCACACTGATTAAATAATTATTTTGAATAGTTTTTATTTTACATTCTTCAGATGATACAAAACACAGATGTTTCAGCACTATGCCTTCCTCAGTATATGATACAATCCTCTAACTCTACCCTTTTATCCCACAGTCAATCACATTACGTCATTAGTTAGATGGCCACTCAATAATTAAAAACAATCTCATTTTCATTTCAATAAAATGTTATCAACCACACAATAAATATTTACCTTCATCTTTAAAAACGTTATTACACAGGAAAATAACATTATCATCATTCACTTATTCATGTCTACATCAATGCAAAGACATTCTGACTGTCCAAAACATTAAAAAATACATTTTCTGTACATCATTTGTATCATTACTCAAAATCCATGATTCACAATATTA